TAAAAAATTTTAATTGAATACACTGTGACTTTTAGAGACTTTTTGAAATTTTATAAAAGTCTCAATTGAATACACCAGTACTTTTAGAGAGTCCCTAAAAGTCTACATTGAATACCCCTAAACTTTTTAAATTTCAAAAAGTCATTAAAAGTCTCAATTAAATACAAGAATCTGAAGTATTTACTACTTGGTCTAAAATGGACAATATTCTCTCAAAGATTGCACAAATCACTCTACATATTTATTTATTGGCCAAATAAATTAATAGCATAAAATACAATAATAAATACACCTAAAAATAAGTACTTAAAACATTAAAGAGTAAATATTGCAATTAATAAAGCTAGGTCAAGTCACATCATAAATTCCAACATAAAGAACTTAACCCATTTTGTACAAATGATAAAAAAGAGAAGATCTATATAAATGGATTACAAATTGGAGAAAATAATAGATGAATACAAGACTAAAGATAAAATTTGTCTTTTGGTTGGATTATTGAATGTAGCAACAATGGCTTGGTCTTGATTTTTTTTCAAAATCTCTCCAATTTTTTTAATTTTTTCTCTCCCTTTCTGCCCTAGATCTTGCCCCTTTTTCCTCCAAAATGAGTATAAAATGAAGAGTTAATGAAGAATGGGGGCTAATGGCTGCAATTTGGCTATTTAAATAACCTAAAATGAAACCCTAAAAAAGTCCCCCCCAAAAAAAAACCCAAAACAAATAAAAAATTACAAAAACGACGCAGAAAATTCTGCTCCCCAATACATGGCACGCGCAAGGTACCAGAAGGCACACGAAAACCTTTGCCACCACTGTTTTACAGCTTAAGTCCTCCAATAATTGTAAGCTTGGTCCCTCACTTTTGATCTTGTAAAATTTGGTCCTCAAAATTTGACTTTTTTTAGATTATGCCCTCGATAAAATGCATCCAAAGGCTTCAACTTTCAGCACTTTTACACCTTGGTCCCCAAATTAAAGTTTTTGTACACTTCTAATCCATTTTCTCTTCCCTTTTGCCTTGTTCTTCTTCAATTCGGGGTGGGTTTTGCCATATAAAAGCAATAATTACACAGTTGTGAGTAAAAATTCGTTCTTTTAATCAAATATTAAAGTTATTTAGGCATTCAATAAGTGTGTAAAAACACACTTATCACAAATGATACTAGATCATGTCGTGGTGGAGACTGTTGTCCGGCCTTGATATCCAAAGTCAAAGATCTCTCGACCCGATGTAGCTTTGCGTTCATTGGAATGATAGATAGTCCTGGTTTCAAATTTCGTTTATATGACCTCTATGATTTGACAACGTTCCTATATAAGTATACAACGTTGACAGATATGCCATTGGTGATGAACTTGACAATATTTGGTTTTCGAAGTTGTCGTCAATTGGCACATGATTCTGCTGATTATTCATGTCAACAATATAGTTATTGCATTTATTCTGACACTGGGGTTGAAGAATATCGTTGTAGGTGCAGGGAAGGATACAAGGGCAATCCCTACCTGGCTCCAGGATTCAACAGTTAGTTGTACCTTTACTAATTTGTTAATTAAAATTTTATCTATCGTACAATCGAGCATAAAAACTTTTAACAATTTTGTTGTAACGCTTGACTGGGAGGGCCAGATATCAACGTATGCAACAATTATCCATACAACTCAAATGGTATATGCATCAATACTCCAGGTTCTTATAAATGCTCATATCCCGATGGTTATTTTGGCGATGGCAGGAGAAATGGTAACTGTTGCTTTCAAGTGCCGGGGTCCCAGAAAAAAAGTGGCCATAGGTATTTTCATTTAATTATTCTATGTGAAATCTTTAATTAACAAATTCAACTTCATGAAATTACAGAGACATTCCTGTAAGAAAATTTTTTCAATATTGGACACCGGATTCGCAGTAGCAGATTCAATAACTTTGAGTACAATGGATTCAAATATACACAACAGATATAATACAACAGCAGATTCGACAATATGTTAAATCGCAGTATAGTGTAACAGCTGATTTAAGCAGAACTAC